GGGGGCCCCCTGAAGAGTCACGCTTGGAGTAAGCCTTGGGAGCACATGGAGACTCTCGAGGATTTGGCCGCTGTAATGGGATATGTGGGCTCGGGTGGCACATGCATCACGTGTCCCTCTGTATTTTTAGTTGTTAATTGGAGTGAGTTTTCAGCCTCGTGCAGCCAGGTGCCTCAACACGCTGGCCTCTGGGCTCGTGACTCCTGAATATGGCCAGATGGTGGCTCCAGGCCCTGCCGTCAGGCTTTCAGGGAGCATCTCAGAGCCCTGCCACGTCCAGCATGCCCACGGCCTTGGGGGTAGCTCCTGCCCAGCGTGAGGAAGGCCAGGGGCATCAGCGGCAGCCGCGGGCTGCCTGGCCTGGAATCAAGCTGCAATGCTTCTGCCTGGATTCCCAGCTCTGTGGTCTCTTGTTTTCCGTTCTTGGTCACCTGGTCCTCTCCCAGCCGCCTTGGGTTCATAAGGCAGGAAGAAGGAAGCAGTTGCTCATAGCCATTACACCTGTTGGTCGTGGGCCACATTCCCCCTCCAAATTCCCTCACTCCTCAGACTCAGGTTACAAGCGATCAGGTGCTAAGCGATCCATTTCTAAATATAAAGGGTGTGGGTCCAACTGAGCGAGCCGGGAGGGTGGGGTCTGAAGACCCGGTTGCCGGGCTCCCATTCTGCCACTTGCTGTTTGCGTGACCTTGGGCACAAATTTACTTCTCAGAGCCTCGATTTAATCATAGCACTGAAACAATGCGAGGAGCAATGCCGAGTGCTTTGCACACACAATACCCCCGCGCAGTAGGAACTGCTATTATCCTCGTTTTACAAACGAACACCTGAGGCACAGAAAGGTTAAGCAATTTGCCCCAAAGCCCACAGCTAATAAGAGTCCGAGAAGCTGGGTGCTCTGTAAGTTACTGGCTGCTTGACCTTGGGCAACTGACTTACTGTCTCCGAACCGTGACTTCCTCATAATAATAATAATAATAGTAATAGTAATAAATAGGGATGATCATGCCTAAGTCATAAAACCGCCGAAAGAAGTAAATGAAGTCACATCTGTGCAATGCACAAGCCCAGTGGTGGCTGTCGCTGGTGACTGTTATGAGGAACAGAGGTGTGTGACAGTTGTGGATCTCCTGGGCTTGGGTGTTGTGTATTTCTACGTCCATGACATTCGTGGGTCCGTCTTTGTCTAATCGAATGTAACTGAAGTAGAGTGAGGTTCTGGCTTAGTCCATCGTCCCCGCTGGCCCGTCGGGGCCGGGAGACCCGCCAAGCCCCTGGGGAAGCCACTCGTGGTCTGGACAAAGGGAAGGTGTCTACCTGGAAGGTCCGCCTTTTTATGACTGGGGGTGGAGCCAGTCGCACTGAATTGAGGAGAGGCAGCAGCTGAGGAGAAAGATGAGTTGGAAGGCCAGAGGGCAAAGGCCAAAGATCGCAGATGTTCAGAAGGATGCCGAATGTCGCCAGGAAGGCAGGGTGGCCAAGTGGGAGGGGAGGAGAGGAAGAGAGAAGAGTGATTAGTGAGCATGAGGCACAGTGAGGGAAGGTGTGGACGGGGCCCTCTCGCGGCTCGTGGGGTGCAGCACCGAGCTTGCCCTTGGATGGCACGGCATCCCCGAAGGGCAGCGGCCCTCGGGGGTTTGGCCAGCAGCACCCCCGGCCCGGGAGAGTGGGCCTCTTCGGCTGGGCCGTAGAGGCCTCGTGACACACAGCCCACCATTGCACTGCTGTCCCTTCCTGTCCCTGGGGGTGGATGGGGGCTGTCTGGCCAAGGGTGGAGCACACAGAGGCTCCGGTGGGGAGCCACGGGACTGGCTACATTGGTACTCGAAGCCAAGCTGGTCTGTGGCAACCTCTGGGTCGAACGAGAAGGGCTGGTGTCAGCAAATCTGGGGAGGACGGTCAGGGGCCGTGCCAAGTTGGGCTCCCAGGGGCTGAGCCGACCGAGGGTGTGGCTGGTGTGGGCGCAGGCTAAGTGCTACTGAGGTCTCCCCCCCCCCCCGGGGGCCGGTGGGTTTGGAAAATAAAGGCTGGGCAAAGATGTCTCCAGCATGTTCAACCACTTTTGGGGGGAGGCAACTCTCCATCACATTATCTGATGTGATTTTCATTTCTGGAAATTCTCGTTGCATTCAGTCTCCCTACCAATCAAAACTGAGCACCCCATGGCTTCGGGAAGTGGTCAGAACCCGTGTGACAGCGAAGATGGCACATAATTGACCTCCCGTTTCTGAAGGCATTTTCACTCACACGAAGCCCCCGGGATGAGTGTTAAGAAGTGGGGGCTCCCTGGGCTGAGGAGGGGAGGCCAGCTGTGGCCCTTCTAGGTCACTGCTGCCTGGAGGGACTGCGGCCGCCCCGAGAGCCCAGCCACCTCCCACTGTGGGGTCTGGGGACGTGCAACGTTGGGCTCTGCGTCCAGGGAGCCTCTCGGCAGAGAGGGGCCCAGAGTCCTTCCAGAATCCACAAACCTTCAGGGTAATGATCTGACTGGAGCGCAGAGACGAAAAAGTGCCACTTGGGTGCTCCTGGTATGGGAGGGGACCGAGGTGGCAGAGACAGGGCGATGGGGGCGTGAGGGCTGAAGTCCACACACACCAGGGGCCCTGCTCCCCGCCCCAGGGCACTCCACCCCTCCGCTCCCTACCCCTCCCCTCCCTCCCTCCCTGGGATGCTGCAGGCTGGAACCGGGGCAGGGACCAGCCCAGGTCCCCCATTATCTTGTGGGCCTGGAGGCCTGCCACCCCACCATGCCTGCAAGCCCCTCGGAGAACCACCAGAGCACTCTCCCTAGATGCCCCCTGCATCTAGGATAAATAAACTTCCAGATAAACTTCCAGCTGCCTCTCCCTGTCCGTCAGCTGAGCCCCCAACCAAATCCACTCTCCTCCCGGCCTGACTTGTGCCCTACACTGCCATCGTCATTGGCTTGCTGCACTCCGTGGCCACGGTGCTTCTGGAGCCTTCTATTACTGCTCTCTCCCTCTTCTTGTCTTCGGTTGAGGGGCAGAGAGCCCTCCCCCACATCCACCCCCACACGTTCACTAAGGAAACACTGCCAAAGCGTCTGCTGCCCTGTTGTCTTTGGTGCTGGGGGATGCTGTCTTTCTTTCGGGTAACATAACAATCCTGTGAGCCCATCGTTTCAAATAAACACAGCTGACCTTCTATTATTGTATCAGGATCAGGCTGGCCGGAACACCAGGGCCCCCACGTCCCTGGAGATCATGCCACTGACGGGCTAGTTCTGTCTGTGCTGCTACCGGTCTGTGCCCCCTGCCCGGGCCCGGCGCAGCTGCCCATGTTGTGGACCCCCTGCATCCTCTCCCAGGCCCAGGAACCCAGGGGTCAGAGTCCGGGTGGCTGACCACTGCTAGCGAGGCCCTTCCAGTGGCCTTCTGGAGCCAGACAGACTCTGAGCCTGACTTGTGCTTGTCTGCAGTCCCTCAGTCCCCTTGCCCCGTGGGGCTGGGCAGCCAGGGAAGCCACACTGTGTGTGTGTGTGTGTGTGTGTGTGTGTGTGTGTGTGTGTTTCTGGGCACGATAAGGCCCAGGGCACAGAGATGGGCACCTAAAGATGCTAGCCCTCCCTACTCCTACCGCTGGGGTCCGAGAGTGGCGTTTTTCTGGTCCCAGCTCACCGGGGCCCTCAATTGGAGGGCACACGTCTCTGCCCTCCCTATCCCAAGAATGACCCCCTGCCATCAGTGCACCCATCTGAAGCTTCCTAATGGGCTGCAGCAGGCTTTGGGCTCTGTATTCAGGGGCAGAGCAAGGAAAAGGAAGGAGCTGGGGCGTGGGGGGCGATTGGGAGACCCTCCCAGCTCAGAAATCCCCACCCTGCTCGGAGAGGGCCTCCTCTGTTCCTAAGGAGGCACAGCGGAGATTTTGTCCTTGAATCGCTGCGGCCAGCTCTCAGTTGTCTCCCACCACTGAGGTTGGGGTCATCTGAAATAATGACTAACCCAAAAGTCCCTCTGATTCAGCCCGGGCGGGCCGCCAGACACACGCACTCAGCCACACACACACACACGCACACTTGCACAAGCTGCACAGCCTCACGGAGGAGGTGATGTGTGGAGGAGACGCAGGGCTGGACGCCCGGAGTTCCAGACACAAATATGCCGGAAGGCTGGCAGGCCCTCCAGCACAGGGACAAACATACAAAGACACACCCGGGGGTGGGGGGGTGGGGTGGGGGGGAGAACATGGGCGCTGGAGACCAGCTCTGCACAAACACACCGCTGACCCCCGGGTGCCTTCCTGGGGGCCAGCCATCCCCACGGCCACCGCGCGGGCTGCTGAGTGTTCCCCAACCTCTGTAGGTGCTGGGGGCCCAGGGAGGTGAGGCTGAGCAGGGGGCTGTGCCCCAGGGAGGCTCAGTTTTAGGGGTTCACTTACCCGATGTGGGTACTCTCCACACTGACCCTGGGGAAGGGAGAGAAGAGGCTGGCGTTAGGCACTTTTAGGGGGAATCGTGCCCTCAGGGGTCCCCCCCACATGCTCATCGCCCACCGGCCCTGCTCTGGTCCTGCACCAACTCCCTCCCTCGCCCCTGGCTGGCAGCAGAGAAGAAGCCCCAAGGGCCTGCCTGGCTCTGGCCCCACGGACCCCAGGCAGGATTCCGCTGCCATACCCCCACGTGCCACGACCGCACTCAAGAGTTATGCTCCTGGCCTGGCTGCAGGTATCTTCCAGAAAGGTCGATGCTCTGGGTGCATCCCCCCAGTGGCCCCTGAGCAGGAGCCCGTGGATGGGAACTCCAGACACCAAGAGGGCTGGGGGCCACGGGGCCCTCGGAGACGCCTTCTCTGAGGTGGGGGTGCCAGGCTCCTGTGCCATTCGCCTGAGGCAAGCCCAGCAGAGCCTCCATCAGAAACGTAAGGAGGTGGAGAATGTAGGCAGCCAGGAAAGGAGCCAAGCCAGTTTGCAAACTGACACCTCAAAATCCTAGAGCTCACGGCGGCGCATCAGGAAGCACTTGGGGGTGGCGGGCGGGCAGGTGAGTCTGAGAAAGGCCAGGCTCCGAGCCACCCCTCCCGCCGAGGAAACACCTCCCAAAGGCAGCTTCTCTCTTCTCTCTCACACACCGCAGCACCGCCGGGGATGCCCCCGTTCTGCTAACTTTTGAAAATAGCCGCTCTGGACTGCTTTCTAACATGGGGGGCGGGGGCGCTGTTTCCTGAGATGAAGGTTCTGGAAAATTTCCATCAGGCTTACCTTTTCTCCTTTTTGTCCTTGAGGTCCCTAGGAAGAGACGGAAACGACAGAGTTAGAAAGTGAAGCTGAGGCCACAGGGGCCCGAAGCCTCCCCGCTGGGGGCCCTTAGGGCCAGGTACTAACCGGCTGTCCTCGGGGACCCATCAGGCCCTGCGGGGAGGAAACACACACAGGTCAGTGGGCGCCCAGAGGGTGGGCGGGTTCAGGGATGCGGGCCTGGGTGGGGATCGAGCTAGGACCCGGGGCCCCCAGGTGGGTTTTGGGATGCAGGGGCCTGAAGGCTGGGCTCTGCCGCCCATGGCTTGGTCTTCCTGTGCCCGAGATGGTGGTGCGGTCTCTACACCAAGCGTCGGCTTCTCGGTCCCTCAGCGGGTGTGACTAGGCGTGCCTTGTCCCCCGCGTGCGGCCACGATGAACAGACGCCATCCCTCAGGCGTTGCGCCATCACCGTCTCACGGGCCGGCTGGGAAGGAGGCCGCTTTTACACGCCGGGTGGTATTCTGCCATGTGGGCTGCCCGGCCCCACGCATGCCCATCTCCTCATGGAGCCAAAGAGTAGAGGTGGAAAGCCTCTCAGGAGACACCGGCACATTCTATCTTCCGCCCACCACTGCCTCAGCATGAAACCCACGGAGCCAGAAGGGCTTCTGGGTACGTGTGGGGGGCCGGGGCAGCGCTGTGGACACTGGGGGCTTTGGAGAAACGTTTGGTGAGAGACAGGAAGCAGGATGTTGGCGACCTAAGCCACATTCCGGGCCCCTCAGAGGAACGTAAGGGGCCTTGGGGCTCCTCCTGGGGTGTCTTGTCAAGTTTGCACGGCTGAAAAAGAAGCCTGGGTTCAGGGTGGACCCTTGGTCCTTGAGGAGGACACAGGGTTCAGCTGGTTGTCTCAGGAGCTGGCCAGAGGCTGGTGTTGGAGAGCCCGCACGACCGGCGTGGAGGTTAGAGGGGTGGACGGGCGCGTCGGGCTTTGAGGACCCGCTCTGAGGCAGGCTTTCAGCATGCCGCACCCACGCTGGCCCACGAAGAAGGTGCTCATGTCAGGTCCGCCTCCCAGATGAGGTGACGGAGACAAGGTCCTGCGGCTCAGTGAGTGGGGGCACTGGGACAAGAGCCGGGTTTGCTGACGGCAAAGGTCCAGCTGTTTCCACTCTGCCACACTCTTTGAACTGGGCTGGGGCTCAGAAGGCAGGGCTTCTAGACTTGGCTAGAGCCACAGCAGTGCCCCAGGCCCTGGGGCCCGGAGGTCGCTTCCAGCCACCATCCTGAGGGCCTGTGAGGATCCACCTGCTGGACCGGTCTCTTTGGGGCTTAAAGAACTCAGGGCCCCCTGGGACGGGTCCACGTGGGGGAGAGGAGCGTCTCTGGCCCCTGACTTGTCGAGTGGACCAACCGCCAAACTGGGAAATTCCCAGGAGGTTCATGGGAGGGGACAAGTGGCCTCGGGACAATCCATGTGGCATCCAGCCCACGCGGTTGACCAAGTGTTCAGAATGAGGCCAGCAAAATGCGACGCATCCGGCAGGGAAGCAGACTGCAGGTGGCCGGGCCACTCCCTCTCACGACAGAGACAGGCATATGACGAAGGGGAGGGCCGGGGGCCGAGGAAAGTAACACCAAGGTTGGGAACCACAGAGACTTGGAGCATCCGGTCCAGATATCCCAGACGGTGGCCCGTGGGACAACAGTGGTCCCGGAGGTATCGTGTTGATGTTTTATTTCAATTAGCTGCTAACAGTTAAGAGCAAGGAGAATACAACACAAACCTGGATTTCAAGTCTCTCTAAATATTTCAAGGTCCAACAACAGATGGCACCGATGAAATCTAGCTGGACAGCGGCTGCCCCTTTAAGACAGGTCGTGGGTGATGTGCGAAAGGCTCTTGTCACACCTCCCCTGTGCCAGGCACTGTTGTGAGCACTGGGTGTGAATGAGCTCCTCCCACCCTGACGGGCGGCCCTGAGCAGTGGGATAAGACGTGAATTCAGAGTCCTGGCTCTCCTTAATGGCACGTGTGGGATCCCTGATCCTGTCTACACCTTACATTAGGTTCTCGGAGCTACTGTGGGGTGGCCGGGGCAGGGGTGATCCCCTTTTGAGGTGGGGACACAGGCTAAGCACATGAGAGTGAGCCCCCCCCCCCCATATGGGATACCTAGCCGAGGGGAAACCATCTGGGGACGGAGGTGAGCGGGAGACAGGCAGATGATAAGCAGGCCAAAATAATTACACTAGAGAGTGTTGAATTAGTAGCTCGGGATCCCTGGGCCAAGCCAAACAGAAGCTTAATGGCTCTGTGGTCTGGCCGATTTTGATGGATGGCTAAGACCCAGGCAGGGGGTCTATGACACCGGTGTGGCTCATGGGAGATGGGACCGCCTCACCTTTCCGCCTCCCCCCAAGTTACTTCTGACCCCCAAACAGACAAGGGAGACTCATGGTGGTTAAGGGGAGGGGGCAGAGGGATGGCAGAGGAAGAGCCCCATAGAAGGGTTCCTTTCCTTCAAGACCGAAGGCCCTGGCAGCAGAAAGGAGGTGTGGTGGACAGGTCCGATCTCACCCCATGGGTCTCAATCCTAGCCCTCTTATTTAGAAGCTAGGTGGCCTTAGGCAATACGCTCAACCACTCTGTGCCTCGATCTCCCCTTCTGTAGAGTGGGGATAATAAGCTTTTATGAGGATTACAAAACAGTGCCTAGCTGACCATCATTACCACTTCTGGGTTGCCACGGACTATGTTATGGTAGCATCCAGGCCAGTAGGAAGGGGAAGAAGGTGGCAGGGAGAGGGTTGAGGGAATAAGCACCCCGAACTCCTGGCATCTAAGCCCCTATGCCTCTAGAACAATGGCAGCACGGAAGTGTATTCCTGCCATGGTCTCCATTGCTTCATGCATGTGCACAGCACGCTTGGAACGGGGAGGCGGAGGGGGTGGGGGTGGGGGGGGGACAACAAGAAATGCACCTGAAGGGGAGGTGGCTGTGACGGACAGGAAAGCTGGTTGGGCCCCTGGATTTCAATGCCAGCCCTTCCATCCACAGCCTCCAGGGCCTCACTGTTCTATTTCCAGTTCTGTGGCTATTTTAAGGACTTGCCTCCCTCAGGGCCTTTGCACATGCTGTTCTCCCATGTCCAGGGTGCTCCTTCCCATTCCTTTTTCTCTTAGTTAAACCGTCATCCCTCAGGCCCTGGTTCAAGTCTTTCTCGGAAGGTCTCAATGATCCTCAGCCTGGGTGAGATGTTGTTACACCAAGGCTTCTCAGAGTCGCTGGCACTGCCTTTTTATAGCACCGATTGCCAAGGCAATTTGTTAATGACTCGAGTGATTATTTCAGCGTATGCTCCCCCGCTAGACTGTGAGCTACAGCACGGCAAGCACTGTGTCTTTCTTACTCCTGTCTATATCCCCGGCAGCTGGCGCCGTGCCCAGCATAGTGCAGACACTCGACGAGAATGTGTTAAAGGAAGGTAGGAGGCAGGGAGATAGGGAAGGAGAGAGGAAACTAAGGAGGGAGAGAGGCAATGAAATGTGGAGGGAAGGAGTTAGAGAATTGGGTTTGGACCCTCTTTTGGATGCTCCCTGGCTGTGTGACTTGAGGCCAGTTACTCAGGCTATCTGAGCTTCCGTTTCTACAGCCGTCACGGAGCTCCTAGTAGGATCTGGAGCACAGGGTTATTATAGTGACGATAAATGAGATAACACACGCCTCGCGCTTAGCCCTGTGCCCACCACGTAGAAAACCGTCAATTAACGTTAGCTGGGTCTGAGGGAGCTGAGTTTTCAAGGGTCCTGTGCGTTGTAGGAGAGGCTGGGGCAAAGGGCAGGTCTCCCTACCCACCCCCGAAGCTATGCCCCTCTTCCGGCGGGCAGGGTTCTGGCCTCCCGTGCCCTGGGCGCACCCCAGTTGTGAGTGGAGAGTGTTTTCACGTCTGCGCTTGGAGCAAGACACGCACCAGAGCCGGGCTGGACGGGGAGGCGGGGAGCCTGCACGTTCCGGCCAGTGGCAGGAGGGTTGCTCCTAAAGTAAAGGTGACCACCCCGCGAGGCTGGAACGGATCCCAGCCCCGGGCTGGCCCATCTGCTCTTAACGGCCCAGCAGTTCCGCTGCAAAGTGGCCCCCTCCCCTGGAGTGGGCGGCCCCTGACAAGAAGAGGCCTTTCCCTTCTGGAAGGAGTGGCCTGGGGGAGACTGTAGAGACGGGAAATTCCTTTAAAAGGCTCTGTAGAAGGTGGAAGGGACCCGGAAGCAGGTGCGGGTAACAGTCTGCTTCTCCGAGTCTGCTCTGTGCCCAACGGGGGCAGGAGCGCCCAGACTCCAGAGCCGGTTGCAGAGAAAGTGCCAGATGGGCTCCCCGCCCGCGTGAGTGAATGCAAACTGCAAACTGAGCCCCGAGGCCGAGACCAGTGGCAGCTGGGGAGTTTGGGAGCACCAGCCTCTGCCCCCGTGGGACACTGGCGACCTCAGACTCTCTCTGGACCTCCCTTTCCTCATTTATCAGGTGGAGAAGCCCCCCGCCCAGCTCTCCCTGCTGCGTTGATGTCAGGACCTAGGGGATGTGTTGTGTACAGCTGGGGAGCCACCTGCCTGTCCCTGTGGGCCCCCTCTGCCGGGCGGTGCTTGGCTGGGGCCCATGAGGCCTGGGCTGACCCCCCGCCCCTCAAGGGAAGGCAGGAAAGCTGGGGGTCTTACCATCTCTCCTTTGGGTCCGGGGTGGCCCTGGAAGAAGAAGAGTGTGAGTGCCAGGTACACGGTACCCCAGAAGCCCCCGGCCTGCCCCGCGGGGCTGCTCCCTCCATCACCCACTGCTCATTTTGCACGTCCTTCCTCCTCACCTGTGTTCTCGCTCCCTTGAGCTGGCACCCCATCCTGGACCCACTGGCTCAGACATGGCCATTTGCCTGCTGCCTTTGCTGGGTCTTTACTTAGCAGTGGCCAGCCCCTCAAGAGCCCTGCCCCAGGCACATAGCCGGGGAAGCTTTGGGGGACGCCAGTTCTGGGAGAGGAGACGGATGGCCACTAGACCCTTCGCTGTACTCAGCTCTGGCCTGCAGTGGGGGACTGACCAGGTGGGCGGCCAGGCCCTCATGTGGAGGATGCCAGCCGCTCGGGGGCGAGGGAGCGCGTGGGGCACTCGCTGCCTTCCCTTGTCATCTCTGAGGGCATCAAAGGTGCCGAGCTCTCCTCCAGCTCACTCTTTCCCAGGAGTGGGAAGGGGTCTCTTTCCCCCCCACAAACATTTGGGTCTCGGGCCCACGTTGAAAGGATTGAAATGGACAGAGAGAGGAGCCATGGACGGGGGTGCGGAAACTTGGGTGTGTGGGGGGCTCAACCGGGATGGGAGACCCAAGGAGAAGGGGAGGGGCCTTGGGGAGCAGGTGCCCAGGCTCCATTTAGAGTCAGTGCCTTGAGCTCTCCACCCCTCTTCTCTCCCTGCCACCTCCTTGCCTCACTCCTTACTGCAGCCCCTTCCAAGGGCACCCCAGAATCACCAAATTCTAGGAGTGGCTCTTGCTCTGGATCTGAGAGCTCAGCTCGGGGGCTGTGCATGGGCTTCTGCCCAGGGGAGGCCTGCTGGGGCCAGGGGCACTTCATTCTAATGGCCCCTCCCCACCTCCCATGGCAACAATTTCCCGCCCCAGGAACTTTCATTCTATCTGGAGCTCCTCCCGTGGAGCTAGGGTCTTGCAGAAGGACTAAGGACCCCGAGAGGGTGCACTCACCGGTTTTCCATCTAGCCCGATGGGACCCTGAAAGAGGAAAGAGGCCAAATGTGAGGATAGCATCACAAGTCTTCTGCCAAAGAGGCAGCTCGGGGCAGTGGTTAAGGGCACAGGTTCTGGACTCCAAGTTAGAGCTCAAGAGTAGGCTCGGTGACTTACTGGTTTGGTGACCATGGGTAAGCTGAAGCCTCAGTTTCTTATCTTAAAATGGGGATGCGACTAACAGTCTTCCACGAGGGCTCTTTGTGAGGAGTGAATGAAATGCCCCCTGTCCAGTGCATGAGGGACAACTTGATGGGTGACAGTCGCCATTGCGATCACAGACCTCCTCTTTGCTCCGAGTGGAAAGTTAAATGTATGTTCCTAGAAAGCCTGGGGCTGGCCAGCACCGGGGCCTGGGGAAAAGAAGAGCCAGCTCCCTCTTAGAGCCTATGGTAGACCCCTCGGGCAGGGGTCACAGGACATCCCCATGGCCACCACACAGCCTCCTGCAGGCGGATCTGCTCTCCACGCCAGGTCGGAGGTTGCTTCCCTGAGGCGCATCGTCTGTTCCACATTCCAGTGTCCTGCTGGGGCTCACCCAGCCTGTGACTTCACTCGCCTGTCCCTGTCCTGCTGTGTCTTCCTCTCCCTGCGATTTTCCCTGCACTCGGGGCCAAGTGCTAAGCTGCTCTCCTCGGCTGCTCTCCGTGAGAGGCTGCAGGAGAAGGTCCTTACTGACCAGGGTTGGAAGGTCAAGAGCAGCTTGAGGGCTGGCCCCACATGAAGTTGAACCCAGCCAGGCCCAAGGGTCACCGGGGACACAGCCAATCTCAGCCCTCCCTACTTACCGGAAATCCAGGAAAACCTCGAGTGCCCGGCTGACCCTGGAAAGAGCAGGAGAGAAGAGAAGATGGGAGCTAAACCAAGTCCCCTGGTTCACTTTCGCTCCCAGGGGGGTCTGTGGTTTCCCTCCCACTGCTCTGGGGTCATCTGTGGGAGCTGGACAAGGATGGAAATGAACACCAGAGAAGCCTCCTTCAGGGACGGGGGAGGGGGGGGCGGCAGGGAAAAGGAGATGCCGGCACCCCTCGGGGTTTCCCGGGGCGGGGCTTCACTGCCTCCATGCTCTGGAACCCCGACATAGGAACAGGTGGCTGGAGAGCAAGGATGGCGGGGACCAGCCTGCAGCACCCCAAACTCCTGCTCTGCGATCTCCTGCGTCCTTTTTATTGACACAGTCATCACCCGTGGCCCCTTATGTGAGGTTGGTTTGGATATCAGCAGATATCAGAACCTAACCTTAGGAATGTGTATTTCCTGACCCACATGGGTCAGATTGCTGGATTTTTTTATCCACCCTGGCCGGCAGGGCTCCCTGGTTGGGTAACCTCTGGGTCCCCCGGTCTTTGTGCCCATTCGAGCCCACTTTCCTGGAGGTGTAGGTGTTTGGGCTGGAGACTAGAACTGGCTGGTCACAGCCCGGTGGCTTGTGGCCAAGGCTCAGGACAGCGTGAGGCCACGTGGACCCAGGGGCTGAGGAGGGCTAAGCAGGAGGTCAAGGCTAGCGGTCTCTTCTCCTCACGTATCGTTCACAGCCGACCTCAGTCTCACCACCGGCCCCACTTTCCCTACTCTTTGCTCAGGCACACGCTCACCTGCTTTCCCTGGACATACCGCACCTTTCACACGGTTAGCCCTCAGCCTGGCATCCCCCTTTGACTGAGATGGCTACAACGTCCTCTCAAGCTCGGGCTTTTGAGCCTGGCAGACCGAGTTCTAGTCCTGCCTCCACCCGCGGTGGCTGTGTGACGAACCTCCTTGGACTTCCCTTTCCTCATTTGGGGGTGGGGATCGCAGGATAACCTCACAGGGTCATTGAACTACATTCGATGACACTGGGAAAGCCGGCTGAAATGGTAGCTGTTTGTTGGACTGAATGGAACCTAGGAGCACCAGAATGAAGCAAGGTTGCTTTGACCCGGTACGCCTTCGGGGCAATGGAGGATGGTCCCTGCCGAGGGGTGGTTTCAAAATCAGACCCCATTCGGAGGCAGATTTCTCTGCATCCATCTGCCGTGAACCTGGAATATTCCAGGTTCCTGGAATTCTCCAGGCTGCTTGGAGAATTAATCTATGCATAAATTTATAATCCATAATTATAATATGATCCCAATCCCAGTGAACTGGGTTGTTGCTGGAGGCTGCTTCCTCGAAGCCACGGACAGCAGTGCCCGGAGGCCTCTGCTCAGGGGACACAGCTGAGTGGGATGGGGACCCTGCCATCTGGGTGGGAGCACCAGTCAAGTCGGGAGGGAGCCACAGCATACGACAGGGTGGGACAGGCTTGTGGCAGGCAGCCAAAGGGCCGGAGCGAGGAGATGCCACTCATATATCAGAGGGACCTGGGCTTCTCTCCTCTCAAGGATAAGTGATGCTAAGAATAGGCCTGAGGAGAAAACCCGGAAACTGTGTGGTGTGGCCTCTGGAACCTCCCAGCGTAAACTTTCAACTACTCTGAATGCTGAGAGGCCTGAGGATAAAGGTCAGGAGGAGAAGATTCCAAGAAACATCTTCAAGTCCCACTGGGGATAATGTTTACATGGTAGGGATAATCACATGTTTTGCTAATTGCAGAGCTGGTCCCGGGAGCAGGATGCCTCCCCCCCGACGCAGAGCCAAATCTGGGGCTCACCAAGGCTTTTTCAAGGATCTTGGGAAGAATGTTGTCACTGACCAAATGGAAACTGGGACTCTACTTCCTGGAGATGCTGGGCTGGCTAAGGCGCTCAGGGAGGCCTGGAACTGGGTTTTAATTTACGTCTCTTCAGTTTCAGGCTGGAGTCGGACGTCTCTTCCAGTGTTTAATGGCCGGTCATTTACTCGTGAACTGCCTGTTTGTATTCCTTACCAGCAAGCTCCCCTAGCTGGTTTGTTTCCCATTGCCCTGAGTACAGCTCTTTGTCAAGGACAGTAACTCTCTGAGAGTCATGTGTGCTACAGATATTCCTTCCAACTTGGCATTTGTCTTTTTTACGCTGTGTTTCCTGCCAGATGGAAGTTTTACGTGTGTGTTGACAAACTTATCAATCTTTTCCTATGGCTTCTGGGGTTTCGTGTCATGTGTCCAAGGGCTTTCCTCAGTGCGGATGTAATAAATGTTTGCTCACGCTTTGTCCTTGTATTTTATGGTTTCATGTTTTATATCTAAGTATTTTATCCATTTGGTATTTATTCTGATCTAACAAGTGAGGTGGACATATGCAGCTCTTTCTTTTTTTTTTAAGCTTTTTTTTTTTTTTTTTTTTTTTTTTTTTTTTTTTTTTTTTTTTTTTTTTTTGGCTTTACCTTGTGGCGAATGGCTTGTCAGCTTGTCCCCGTAAAGCTTTGTCCCCATAAAGCTTGTCAGCTTTACCTTGTGGTGAATGGCTTGTCCCTGCCTCATCTCCTGGACCATCTACTTTGTGAAATGAAACCTTTACCACGGACTAAATTCCCAGATGCGTTTAGCTTTATTTCTGGCCTCCCCATTCTGTTCTATTTAACTGCTCTGTTTTTACAATACATTTGATATGTAGTAAAGCAGCCAGTCCCTTCCACCCCTATCTCCTGCACTCAACTTTTTCAGTATTTTCTTGACATCCTTATGAAAGCTTATTTGTTGTTGTTGTTGTTGTTGAAAGCTTATTTTTTTTATGAACGTCATTCTGTTGGACTCCCAACCCCATCAAGAGTTCACTGGGATTGGGATCATATTATAATTATGGATTATAAATTTATCCATAGATTAATTATGGATTAATACTATGTCCTTCCATATAAGAACAAGGGAAATACGTTTTATTTGCATTGTTCTCCAACATCTCTTCCCTTAATTCAGGCTCGGGGTAGAGAAGGAGCCAGGAGGATCCCGCTTTTTGGAAGTGGACCCCTGCTACCTGCAATCCGTGCGGGGTAGACATACATAGACAGACAGAGGTTCTCTCTCCCTTCCCTTCTGTCTGACCCCTGAAAATGGATCAGTCCTGTATCCGCCCAGAGCCAGTCTCCCCCCTCCAAGCATGTGCTGACTATCTTTCAAACAAGATCCTGCGTGGTCAATGTTTAATCGCTGGCTGAGGTGACAGAGAGTGGGAGAGGAGAGTCCTGCTTGGCTCAGTATTTGCCAATCTCTGTGGTGTAGATATACCTCCCACCACAGCTGATTTTAAGCTACCAACATGATGCCACTGAACATAGGGTTCGGAGGGGGGTACATGACCTGCTCTTGTGAGCCAGTCGATGAGGCAGGCAAACATCTCCCCTTGGACGTTACAAGGACATCTCAAATTCATCCTGTTCCAATTAGACTCCTCTTCCCCGGCACAACGTGCTCCCCTCTCTGAAGAAAGGCACCATCATCCACTTGGTGACTCGGGGGTGGGGGGGGGAGGGTCAGGGGAGCTTTTCAAACCGCAAATCTGATCAAGTTCATCCTCCGCTGAACGCAAACCAAGGGCTCTCCACTGCCCTCAGGACAAAGTCCTGCCTCCCGAACACCCTATCCAGGTCCTTCACAACTGGGGTCCCGCTCCCCTTGCTAGCCTGACCCCTGCTTTGCTATGCAAAGAACTTTCCTGCTATCCCTCACCCGGTGGTTTAGAAGAACCTCTCTTGCCTCAGCGGCTCCTCCCCAGCCTCATTACCTGGGAACCTCTGCTCAACCTTGATCACAGTTTGGTCATCCCCGCTTCTCGGTCTGCCCCCACCCCAAGGCAGGTGCCCCCCCCCCCTGCTGTCTGTATTGTAATCACCATGGGGTTGTTGGTCTCTCTGCCAAGGGGCGAACAGGCTGTGGTCAGACGGTCATTGTCTACCCAGCACCTAGCCCCCAGTCAGTGCCTAACAACTATTAATGGAATGAATAAACAAAGAAACACAACAGGTGTATCGACCCAGCATGGCGGGTCTCCTTGCGCCTGAGGGCTGGGCGTTCAAACGGCTCCTCCTGGACCCTGAAGGAAAGCTGGGGGGTTCGGGGAGGAGAGAGCTCCCCTTGAGATGGGGTGTGTTTCCTAGCCTGGCAGATGACCTGACCAGGGTCTGCTGGGCCAGCCAATGTCCCGGCCTCCCCCCTCAGTTTAATGGGGCGGCCACTCCAGCATCTTGCCTCACTGGAATGTGAACCATCCCTTTCCCAGGTGTCTGGATGGTTCCCCCTTTGCTCGGACTATTTAGGAAGAGATCAAAAGAAGAGGCAGGTGGTCCCTGAGAGTGGCAAGGCTGGTTCTTGTTAGGAGCATTTATTCTGAGCCCTTTCTGGCTGTACAGAAAGCCACATGTGCCCCATAATCCTTGGCCACAGAGGGTTTGCCTGCCTAACCTGTACCCCTGAATGATAAACCTCCCCTTTGTCTTCCCCTGGCCCCTGCTCTCACCAGATCTGGGTGGCTTCCGGGTGGCGCTGAGATGGTTGCCCCGGTCTCTAGTGAGGACCCATCAGGGGAGACCACCGTCATCTGGGTGATGGTCACCCCCACAGACCAAAGTAGAATGAGGCCAGGCTTGGTCAAGCCTCCAGGTACCATAAAACCTCTCCCACCACCAGCACTGCACCCACAGGGAGAACTTGTTCTTCTCCTTAGGGAAAATTTCCCTTTTGAACATTTAAAAATTTCCCTGGCCCAAGCCACGCTCTAGCACCGACCAGCCGAGGGACCTCAGGTGGGTTACGAAACCCTCAGTTTCCCTCTCTGTGAAACGGGCAGACGGGCCTGCCTCCCAGCTTTGTTGGGAGGGCCGGGAGAGGCCTGGGCAGAGGGGGGCTTTCAGCATAGGAACTAGGATAAGACAGGTGCCCAGGAGACAGAAGTCATCACCGCTACCTGAATAGAGGGTCCTTTTCACCACTGGAGTCAAATGCAGTGCTGGGGGTGGGGTTCCTGACGAGGCCTAGGCACGGCTGGGCCAGAAGCCAGGGGAGCTGGGGCAGACTACCACCCCCGGGGCCTGTTCTCCAAAGTGGGGCCTCGTCAACGACTTCTAGAGAGCTCGTTGGCATGGTATCGCCAGAGAGGTGTTGGAGGGCCGGCACGATAGACACGACGGAATCTGTGGTCAGACTACGAGGCAGGCAGAGATTTCTCTGTGAGCCTCTCATCTTCTAGTGGCCCCCTGGCTGAGCACCACCTTCGCCAGGAGCAAGCGGGCTCAGGGCGTCCCTGCGGGGGCTCCTCTGAGACACACAGAAGCTCGTAGCCCAACGGTGCCGCGGCCACGTGAGCCCAGAAGCCCGGATGTCAGTGACCCCGCGGCCTGGGGGTCTGCTATGGCAGCGGGGGTGCAGAGTGCGAACTCGAAGCCGCGCGGCCCGGGCTGAGTGACCGAGCGTTCCTAGCGAACGGTCCTGGACAAGTCACACTGCCTCTCCGTGCCAGCCTGCCTTTTCTCACCTTTGAGATGGAGGTGTTAATAGCCCCTACCTGTGAGGTTCTCGTGAGGATTCTATGAGTCACTGTGCGGAAAGGTCTTAGAATACCGCCTACCACAAGTTAAGGGCCAAGTGTGAGCTCTTAACACCATCGCTGTGGTCTGAGCCAGAAGTCTTGCCTGTGAGGCCAAGTCTGTGCAGCCCAAGACCCTTCCGACTCTGTCTCCAGCGTAGACCCCCGAGTACCTGATCCCCGATCGCCAGCTCCGTCCTCTGGGCTCCCTCTGACTTGCTCCCGCTTCCAAGCGGCCCTGAATGGCCCCCCTCTCAGCTTCCAGCTCTCAACACAGCCCTCCCCCTTGGACATAACTTAGCAATGTGTTCTCTGACCCTTCTCCCTAGACTGTGGGTAGGAGAGACTCCTAGTTGCCACTGGCTCCCTCTGGTGAGGGCAGGGGCATAGGCAGGCTGGACCCCACCCATCCATGGGGCTGGCCTCAGACTCCCCGAGGCTAGCCCTCTGCTCCCCTCGGCTTCTCACTGGCAGGGCGGGGCAGGAAAAGTGCACGGCAGGGCGTGGGGATGGTGGCCTGGTCTATGGTGAAAACCCTGGGTGCCAAGGGTCTTGGGTTCTAATCCTGCCCCAGCCTCTGGGCCTCCCTAATCCTGGTCCCTCTCTGGGCCTCAGTTTCCCCTTCTGAGGAGGCTGTGTTAGACCTTCGCTGAGGTCCATTCTACCCTGACACTTGGTGATTGTGCTGAGGCTCTGCGGTTTGGGCCCTCCTTCCCGCAGTCCCAATATCTTCCCACATCATCACCCGTGTCCACTTTTGGTCCCTGAGGAAGCATCTGAGGGGAAGGCTCTGATTTTCCCAAGCCCCTGCGAAGGGGCAGAGGCTACCAAGAAGCAGGACCCGGCAGTCTGCCCGGCAGGGAGCCTTTGAGGACGAGTGGTAGGTTGAGCCTCTGCCAAGACCGGGAGCGGGTGCTTGGGGCAGTGAATACGGATGCTGGGGATCTGCTCCAGAAGCTGCCAGAAACAAGGTCTGTCCCCTGGAAAGCTGGAGCGCCCCATCTGAGGAGGAGCGAGTACTTTCTCCCCCCCGCCTGTAAACAGCAGGGCCGCCTCACAGCTGCTGGTTTCCTGGCCAAAGGGTGGCCCTTGCGAACCCTCCTGAGGGGCTGTAATTTAGGGATATTTAGTCAGGCCTGGCCGGGTTGATCGCATTATGGGCGGTGGCCGCCAGGCCCGGAGGCACAGCCAGGATTTGCTCTCCCTCCAGAGCCCTTGTTATTAACTCGCCCGTCCCCCCACCCTGAAGAAGAGTAAAAACCACTTACAGGGGGGCCGCGGGGACCGATGATGGACATGCCGGCATCTCCTGGGGCCCCCTGTGGGAGAGAGAGAGAGAGAGAGGAGAGGGAGAGGGACAGGGGCAGAGGCAGGAGGGGGGGAGAGGTGGGCAACGGAGGAGGGAAAGAAAGGAGCTGGCAGGTGGGGAAGGGGAGCAGG